ACACCCCTTTCCAGCGACCTCATGACCCCCCATGCTCTCTCAGTCCATCTACTGACTTCACAGGAAGAGTCACCAGAGACATCAATGTCGCTGCCAATATAAGTGAATCTCTCAACGCAGTTGACATTCTCTCCACAGACAAATACACTGATGGCTGTGCCAGAGAGGTCATTAAAGGCCTGGATCTTGGTTTTTACCTAGGACGCAAGCCCAGACACTAAGACTCCTCGCTCAGTCTCTCGAGAACCCTGATAAAAACCTCCATTGACTCGGCAAAGATCATAGCATCATCAGCAAAGTCAAGATCAGTGAATCTTTATTCACCAAAAGATGCTCCACAACCACTGAACCCCACAACCCTGCCCAACACCTAGTCCATGTAAGCAGTAGGAGCAAGATGAAGGCTGCACTTGCACTTGATGAGATCCGTCAGTGTTGGAATGCGGTCGATGGAAAACTTCTTAGGCATAAAACTCTCCTCCGGTTGCTGGTATCAAGCTGTGCACTGCAATTTCTCTCAATAATATCCAGGGTGTCCTGCAAGATGAAATACCTCTTTCTGGAGACACCGGCGACACCTACATAACCCTCAGCAACCTTCAAGGTCTTGTCATGAAAGGTCTCCCACATCACATTAGAATCAGCAGTCTGCAAGTGCTTCATACAAATTGCTTGCAGGTGGTAGCCTACTGGACCTAAGCTGAATAGCAATGACAAGTCTGTGGTCAGAATTCATAAACTGGGCACTTCTGTAGACCCTGCAGTTCCGTCGGAGCCTTCAGCATCTGGCCACTAGGATGTGATCAATCTCCTTTGCCACACCACCAGTACTGGAGTACAATGTGGCTCTGTGTGCTGGAACTAGGATCCAGCAACCAGCATGATCTGACAGTGCGTTCTATGCTCCTAAGCAGACGGGCTGCCTCAGATTAGGACCCGGTTTTTGCTGCGCAGCTGGCAATGCCTCAGAATCACACCAGTTCCAATCTCCAAAAGGCCTGACCCCTAAACAATTTAATAAATATGTCAATGCCTTAAATGTGTAGGAATTAAGACTAAAAGAATTAATTTCCAATACAGAGTTTTCATTCCTGCAACAGCCCATTCATTGTGATAATTTACATAACATTTCACATTATAACATTATACGACACATCATATGCATTAATATACTAGTAAAATAAAGTTGCACAAGGTGGGAGAGTAGTTGATAGTATCTGAATAACTACCAAACTCAAAATTTTAAAACATGAGAATACATTATAGGATTTCACTAAATTTTAAAGTAAAATCTTTTGTTATGTTTTTGCTAAGAATTTGTGTTTGTTTCATATTTGTTCAGATGGCAGCATTAAAACTAAATACTGATTTAAGGATTTAATTTTTTTTTTTTTAAAAGCCTCTTAATTTAAACTGGACCATGAGAAACAGGATCATATCTAATTGGGAGGATATGTAAGGTACATTTTCATCTAAGAAAACTCACACAATAACTGCATGATAAAAAAAATAGGAAATTCATTTGACAATGGAATTCTTTGGAGAAGACGTTTAACATGAGTACCTACATTTAAAACTACAGATTGAAAAAGAATATATGGCAGTGGTGCCCAAACAGTTGATCACGATCAAACAGTTGATCATGAAGTGCGTCACAAGCAGTGTTGGGGAGTAAGGAGTTACATGTAATGGCATTACATAATTTAATTACAAAAAAATGTAATTGTAATCCATTACAGTTACTAGAGAAAAAGTGTAATTAAATTACAGTTACTTATGGAAATATTCATGATTACAATTTTAGTTACATCATAAGATTGTATGCAAAACCTTGGTAATATCTTTAATGACAGTATTTTTATTGCTTTTGATGTTTACATCCTCCTTTGCTATTTCCCTCCACAGCCGAAAGTTTGAAACGATTCGTTGCTTCTGATTGGTTATCCTGTCACGTCTACATTTGCAGCCAATTCTGCTAATTAACTTGGCGGTGGTCTGAGTTTCTGTTGCAGGCAATGCCAGACAAGGAAAGGAATGCATTCCATTGCTGGAAATATAAAAAACATGTACGATACATTACGGAAAACACACACAAGGGCAATTCCATCGTGATGGACGTTACATTTAGACGGACATTGAGGCCTACTAACCACTCTCCCAGCTAAAGTTGTACCCCAAGGAACCTAACCCTATGTGTGGTTATAGTTGAGGCCTGAACCTGTTTGGTGGGGGAACAAAAGTCATCTTGTGACTTCTGTGATTTTCAAAAGAACCAAAATTACTGGAATGACAGACGATACGCAAAAAAGACATGGAAAAAATCAACTAATATCTATTATCAGAATTCTCTGAATTCAGTACAGGTACAAATTGATGTTTACCCTAGGATTATAGAGTGACTTATCCTTCTTATATACAAGCAATGATATTGTTTCTAATCAGAGTCCCTTAGGAGGCACTACCAAATTTGTTCCAAATTGTGTGTGATGGACGTTACGTGACGGATGTTACCTCTGTCCACTGTGTCCTGTGATGTGAGAAAGTTTTTTTGTGTTTTAAACTGGGAAATCAAAATTTGCCCTTAATTTTATCTTAAAATTGACCGGTACAAAGAAATAATTTCGAAATTGTTCTGAAAACCTTCAAGTTGTTCAAATTCAAACTGCAAATGCTTCTAAACCTTTAAAACATTTTAAACTCAAATTACCATTTTTACAAACACATCAGATTCTATGTCTTTGAACACTTTAAATCTGCAAATAATGAAATATGCCAAAACTTGGGCAACTACTCAAACCATAAAATTAGTGAAACAGTGTTGAGACATCCACTTGGTGAGTTCAGTTCAGTTCATGTAGGTCAATCAATCAAAGTCGAGGAACTGAGCACCCCAATAATCTCTTTTATTTACCATGGTTGGTTGCTGGAGTCTCTTTATCATCTTTTCTCTCACATAGAAGATTTTGTCTTCATGTGTTCCATCTGGCCACTTCCAGGTGTCATTGCCTTTTTTATACATGACTGTCACTTCAAAGTTCCCATCTCTGATCTGTGTAACCTCCCCAGGGAAGAATTTACACTTAATTTGTTTTTACTCTTGAATTTTCATCCAAATCTTATTTCTATTTGTATTCATATTGTTAAAATATCAGAAATAATTAGATAGATACCTTTAGTTTCAATGATGTTGCTGGATATTGAAATTGAAAACAAAATTGAAAATAGCAGCTTCTTTTCATGTCCTAAATTGCCAGGTGCATTGTGGGAGTTTATTTGCCTTGCTGCAGCTGCCACCTTTGGGGAATTAGTGGAACTACTTATTGTCTTAAGAAAGATGAAAGAATACACAAATAAGATAAAAAAAGACTGAACATTCCTACCACTTTCTTGGGACGTGACAGACGTTACATGACCCTTTTTGCTGTGACGGACGTTACATGTGACGGACGTTACAGTTTTTCATCCCCTTGCCCATGCTACTTGCCAGACATGGGGACAAACTTGGCACATCATTGATTTTGCCTTGTCTAGAACTTAGAGAATTGAAAAGCTTATGTCCCTATTCCTTCCAATTTTCCTTCAATGAAATCAATTCACAATTTCTGTGACAGACGTTACATTGACAGAGAAGTAAAAATCAGCCCAGCCTGCCAGTTACCAGCTTCAACATTAGGACTGAAGCTCCTTTCTGCCACAAATTGATGCTCTAGACATAACAAATCGACTTAAATGACTTGTGTTAGCTAATTAATTACTGCTTATTTCAGGGGTTCAACTCACCTGTTTTAGTGCTGATTTCTGTGAGAAATTCATATCATCTTTTGGGATTGAAAATTCACCCACAAAATTAGTGTTTCTATCCTAAACTCAAATTGTTTCTTGAAATTAGGGATATAGTGGATAAAATTAGTGCCTTTTCTGGATACAAAACAAAGTTTTAATTTTTGCTTATTATGTCCCTCTTTTCATGGAATTGCCCACAAATTTAACTGTGCAATGTAGTGCGTGTTTACTGGCTGTAAAGATGTTGTCGAAGGAAACATCTAGAGGTAAGTGCAGCTTATTGTAACTGCAAATAGTCATATTAAACAAAGCAGGGAAGACATGCCTACTTTCAGCGTGCTACACGTGCTTCTAAAGTGTAATGCCCAGTACACACTGTGTGTTTTCAGCAATCTTATAAAATCATTACCTATCACACTGTGCGATACGCATCTAATAATCTTAGCTATGACAGGTATGCAGAGTGTACGACGACAATACCAACTCAATCATAAGATATATTGCATAGGACAACAAAACAAAATGTAAACACTGACAGCATGCGTAAACACCACAATGAATCGAGAAGTGAGTACTGCGTTTTAAAGCCACACTGGCACTTCTGATCCCGTTGACAGAAAATGTGCCGTCCTCCTTCAATATGCTAAGGTTATTGGTAATTTATGTTAGGTCTGTTATTAGCACTCCCAACATGCTATGTCGTATTGAGTTTTGAAAATTCACTAACTAGCTAAACCCTGGGCGATGCAGCATTACCACTCTGCTAACCCATTTTATTTTACAGTGCTGCGAAGACACTGTTTTAGGCTACTCCGTGATTTGTGATTGAAAAATTGATTTAATGTTTACACAATCAGCTGAAATTTCATATCCTGTCTGATGCAAGAACTGTTCAGATCAGAAGTAAAAATGGAACCATTTATTTTCGCAAGTATATAAAATGTTTGTATCATAATGTAATTCTGAAGCATCACAGAGTGGTCAAATCACTCGTAGTTTATCTTGTTTTGACTCCCAAAAAGTTTATATTATGGACACACATTAGAATTTAATAACTGAAGGCTGAGTTTTAACAATTTTTCTTTTTGACATTTTATGTATATTTTATGTAACATTAATGTTATGACTTGTTACACTGAGGGAATCTGGGTTTTCACTGAGTATGAAGCGAGGATCTATTCTTATCCGTTGTTTTTAAAATCATTATTAGGCCTGTATGGTATGTTTGGTATCTTTATTAAATTGATCAATTATAATCATGTTAATTTATGTATTGAAAGGAGTTTGACAGTGTTTAGTACTGCTGTAAGGTAAACACTACCAGGTCTTATTCATAAATAGTTAACAGTAGAGAATATTCATTCATAATTTACAAAAGTAATCAAAAAGTAATCAAATGTAATCAGTTACATTACTTTCATATAGTAATTGAAATAGATACACTACTATTACATTTTAAATAGAGTAACTTGTAACGAATTACATTTCCAAAGTAATCTTCCCAACACAGATCACAAGCATCCGTGCACTTGCGCGCACGCCTATTTTTCAGTGTGCAACTAATCGTGTACAGTACACATTTAGCACACAAACAAGCCAAAACATCAAAAACGTGTCATTTTCATTCAGAGTGGGAAGAGGATTATTTTTTTTGTTTACTCAAATTCAAAGTCCATATGTCTTATATGCAATGTGAGCGTGGCCTTACCGAAGAAGGGCAATTTGGAGCAGCATTTCAAAACGATGCACAAAAGCTACGAGACCGAGTTTCCTGTTAAAACAGCCATGCGCAGCCGAAAAGTGCGACAACTGAAAAGTCGTTAGCAGCACAGCAGTCAATTTTTACCTAGCTGCATCTTCCCAGTGCCAGCAGAAATATTTTACACTTGTTCAATTGGGAGAATTACCTGGATTTGTCTGGATTTGCTGCATGCATGTTAACTATGTAGAAAGGCAAAAGCTAGAGTAATAATAGAGTAAAAGAGTAATAGTTATGGCTTCCTATTTCCTATTTAGATCTCGGCAAACTGGCCACTTGAAAAGTAAATCTTGAGTTAAAAAGGGTTGGGCACCCCTGATATATGGTATCAGTCCCTTTTCCAGCTGCAGCAATGTATCAGAGGTCTTGGTTCTGGTCTCCCCTCTCATAGACCAAGCTTTTTCCAGGAGGGCTTGTCATTATTCATGATGATTGTTGGACAGTGGAGTGATGCTAAAGACATGGATCTTCAGATGGGTAGCAATTTGAAGGCACACACCTGTGCAGTAGCGTGTCAGATCCACCAGGGAAAAGAACTAGAAAAGGCCAGAAGAACAGGGGATAAAGATATTAAGGAACTGTGATTTACTGGGGGGAAAAGCTATTTAGTTATTATAGAGGACACTTTTGTATCACTTTCCCATTGCTGGGATACTACAGCTGAACTCAAACTTTCAAATTAATTATGCTGAAAAAAGGTTACTCACAAATGCAATCCAAAGAACAAGATACTCGTCTACAAAGCTACTGAAGTACTGATTGAGGAATAGGAGTCCAGGTCCAATAAAGGCAGTATCCTGAAGGTGGAGCTCACTTCTGGTCATATGTGCCACCTGTAATGGAGAGGTATGATGTAGAGGCTGAAGACAGTTGTGTGGGAAAATCAATGTGTGTTTGGATAATGAGAACATGGAGTCAATTATAAGTATAAATACCATAGGAGTTGACATTTATATAAGCTGTCCAATGAAAACCACTGGTATCTCAGAACTCGAATTTAATCTGTTCAGAACTCTGGATCGAATCCTAAAAAGTTCGAGCTGTGATCTAATTTTCCCCATAAGAAATAATGGAAAACCAATTAATTGGTTCCTGGCCCCAAAAGTTACACCTAAATATGTTTTTTTTAGCATTTAAACACAAAATGAACCAGACAAAACAAGAAGAGCATATACTGTACTAAACACATCTCGTTAACCCCGTGTGGAATACCCATGTGATCAGCTGTTTCTGGTTGTTGTCATTAGTCCTCTGTATTTCGTCTGCGTTTCAGTTTGTTTCCCCAGTCCGGTCATTGTATTGTCCGTCTGCTTTTGGCTGCCTTATCTGTAATTAAACCCTGTATTCCCCAATACCCTGACGTCTGTGCCTTTGTCTCCGTTCCGTCCCCGCTCGGCACAACAATATTATTATAATTAAACATATTAATGGTTTATCATTAATATTAAAATAATGAATAAGAAATCTTTATTTTTAAATGTATTTTATTATATAATAATAATTACTGTTATTGTCTATCATTTTCTAAATGTATTTTTACTGTCTAAATATATGTATTCAGTTAGTGTAAACATGCACAGTGCTATCACAGCGAATGAGAGGCTGAGACTGAAGCTTTACCCTTTGTTTCCGCTGAGAGACATGCCGCGTGACTAATTTCCCTGCGCGTACAAGTTATGTTAGGTTAGCGTTCACAGTTTGACTTCTGAGATTCAGATCGAGCTCTAGGTAATTTTTTTTCGAACTGGTTGGTTCGACTCTTAAGAAATCCGAGTTCTAATGAGTTCGAGAACTGAGGTACCACTGTATGTCCACTTTTGACGATTGTGACTTATTACTATAAATGGTCATTCACCTCTGACTATTGATAGCATTTGACCAATAAAACATTAAAAAAATTTTATTGTAATCTATTTAACTAATATTTCTATTATATATCAGAAGTGTCCATCAACACCACTTATATCCCACCGCTGTTTTTCACTTAGAAACAAGATCGAGATTTTGTCTTATGCTTCCTTAGGTATTATTATTATTATTATTAGTAGTAGTAATAGTAGTATAATAATTGGATAAGTGCACCAAAATCATCAATTCCATGAAAGCTCAGCTTCTCTGGGAGTGAATGGAGCAGTGGGCGGGCCAGGACGCTGGGCTGCTGCATGATGATTGGAGGAACTGTCTAAAGGATGGAACCCCTTTTTGATTTACCCTTTGTTTTAAGTATACACCAGCGCTACAGAAATTCAAGTTCAGTCCCATGCGGATTTGCAGGTGAAGTCGTAAGACAAACTGGTGCACTCTGTGTTGTTTGCTGGTGGTATAAGCCATTTTTGTTTGTACAAATTCTTTAAATGAAAAGAAAAAAAAAACAATATTATAGCATTCTTTACTTTGCTCCTTGTTTCAGCATTGTAAAGTTAGTTCATTCATTTAATTAAAGTAGCTTGTGAAAGGGTCTTTTCAGCTCTCCTGGTATGACAAGGTGAACTGGCTGACTGGAAGTGCTGTGACAAAGAAAATCTACTGTTGGCCATGCCTCTTGATGAAACCTTCTCAGGGAATGGGATGTGTTGTTTGGTCAAACGTGGGTTTTGGGGATCTGGGTAACTTTGACAGGGCATACAAAAGGCACAAAAAGTGCAAAGAACCTGTGAGTTCATGTGCAAAGTTAAGTTGTCTGGGCAGGGTCAGGGTTGAACATGCAATCAATGAAGGTCTTTGCATTCAGGTGGCAAAACATAATGAAACAGTAAAAGAAAAACAGGACCTTCCTAATTGATGTGACTTCCTTGCTTGGCCATCAGGAGCTGGCATTCAGGGGGCATGATGAGAGTAGTGAATCAGCAAATTAGGAGAATTACAGGGAATTTACAGAAACATTAGCTAAATATGACTCTTGTCTTGGCCACAATATTTCAGTCATCAGCTGTCCCATTTTCTGATATGTCCCACTCAATCCAAAATGACTTGATCTCTGCTCTCGCAGCCACTGTTTCTGATAAATTCAAAGGTGAAATTCAGACTTCTCCTTTTTTTGCATGGCAGGTGGATGAAGCAACTGACATATCTTCCATGCCCAACTGTCTGTCATTGTTAGATAGGTGGATACTGCAGGTAAAATTCAGGAGCGCAAGAACATGCAAGGCTACAGTTTTAGAGAAAAACTTGTGGCACAAACCTACGATGGGCCTGCTGTTAGAGGAATAGCCCCTAGTGCAATGTTTGTGCATTTCTAATAATATTCAATACTTTATTGATCCCCATGGGGAAATTGTCTTTACACCTCCATCAACTTGCTCTTTGTAGAGTATGTCATACATGAAGGGCAGCCACCCATAGTAGCGCTCAGGGAGCTGAGGGCCTTGCTCAAGGAGCCACAGACACGCTGAGGCTGGGTTTGAACCAGTGATCTTCAGATTACAGGCACATAGGCTTAGCCCACTGAGCCACATGCTGGCCACAGACTGAATCTGGTGTTGTCACAGGGTGCTAAATGCTTGCCTGAATCACGAATATTTTTTGCATCTCTCTCTGGGTTTACCACATTTTTTTCAAAGTCCACAAAAAGGATGTATTTTCTAGAGTCTGCAGGGTCTTCATGATTGCCCAGAAACGCTCCTACTCGATGGAATATCACATCACAGATAGTGAGCAATATGGCAAACAATTATGATGGGCTCCTGAGAACTTTTGACAAGATTACCCAGGATGAGAGCATGGATGATGAAACATTAGATGCTGCCAAAGGCTTCATAATGAAACTGGAGGACTTTGAGTTGAAAAGTAGAACTTGAGTTAAAAAGGGTTGGGCACCCCTGATATATGGTATCAGTCTCTTTTCCAGCTGCAGCAGTGTATCAGAGGTCATGTTGTACACAAATGAACAAATATACTCTGAGACAGATGTTGTCTTTGATATTGTCCAGCAAAGGGCTATGGATGTTCTTTAATGCAAAAAAATAATTGAGTTTCTCCTTGCTTTTGCCAAGGAGAAGAGGTCAGAGGAGGCATATCAAGCAGTTCGTGCAAAAGCAGAAAATCTCACATCAGACCCTCGAGATAAACCTATGAGAAAGTGACTTCTGTCAAAAATGCAAGAAATCTGTACATGGCCATCCTAGACAATCTCATGGAGCAGATTTCTCAGCTTTTTTCAAATTTGGAAAGCATGAGCTTCTTAGAACTAGTCAATCCAGTGATATTTCATGAAATTAGACAAGTGTTTCCAGAGGAGGCATTTGAAAGTGTCCAGAAAAGTTATGGCCATTTCTTTGACTCAGGGAGACAATTATCAAGTACTATATTCAGATCGTGACTTACAGGGGAGCAGAGGTAAGCTGTGTGATTTCTTGGTGTTTTTTAAAGACATGGAGTTGGATAGTGCAATGCCTCAGCTATACAAGCTGTTGTCGTTAGTGGCAATAATTGGCGCTACATCAGCAGGTGTAGAGAGGAGCTTCTCCTGTTTCAAACGGGTCAAGTCATACACACGTAACACGATGGGCAAAGATCATTTGAGCAATTTTGCTCTCCTGGCCATTGAGAGGAAACTAGTTAAGTCCCTGGAAAAGACGGGCAATTGGTACAACAGGGTCACAGTGTCAGGGTCAGCCCCCCGCTGTGGTCCTTCCGTTCCCCTTCCCCGTTTGACCAGCAGGTGGTGCTGGTCATCCCGTTCATACGTCAGTCCTTGTTTCTCCCCTGTCACTTGTCTGGTCTCGTGGCTCAATGTATTAAGCATGTGCTGTCTGTTTGCCCCTCAGTCCTGAGTTCCCTCTTGTTGTGAGTTCGAATCCCACCTCCTCTGTTTTTGTATTTAGCTCCCTGGTTTTTTCCTTTGTGCTTGTTAAACCCTGGTGTCTGATTTAGTAATTGGTTTTGGTTTTGTTTCTTGTTCCCCTGCCTTATGTTATTACCTATGTACCTTCCGTGTGTTATATGCTTCCTTGGTTAGTGTTTAGTTTCCCTGATGGTTAGTGTCTGAGTTAATTGGTTTCACCTGTGTCCTGTTTCCCTAGTCTTTGTTAATCAGCCTCACCTGCCCTGTGTTAGTCATTACCCCATAGTATATTAGTTCCTGCCTGTGTTCTGTCCCCGCTGGTTCATTGCGTCGCGTCGTGTCTATGTTAGATGTGTATCCAGTTTTTGTTATTTAGTTTTTGACCCCTCGTGGTCCGTTTTGGTTTTGTAGTTTCTTTCTGTTTTATTTAATAAACCCTGTTCTGTTTTCCTGGAGCCGCAAGTGGGTCGTCCGCCCTTTCTTTGTGCACCATGCCGCGCTCCCGTGCCCGAGCCGCCTGCACCCATGACACACAGACCATTTTCTGCAAAAGGAATGGAGGGCAGAATTCATGTAAAAATAACAATGCATTTTATGATGTAGGCCTAATATGAGCTTCCCCTGTTTGAAAGACTAGCAGCCGCCACTGAACCTAGGATGGGGCACCAACCAATCACAGGTGATGATGATAATAATAATTATAAAATAAATAAATAATAATACTCTTGAATGAAATAAGACTCTTGAATCAAAATTACAAACTATTTAATGCACAATTTATTATTTACTGCACACTCTCTGTCCTGCCGCTACTATTGCTTGCATATTTTCACTTTATTATTTATTGCCATCTTGCTGCTAAAAACCAGTATAAGTCACAAATACTATATCTGCTGTTACGTGCCGTAAGTTTGGTGCCCCTTCCGCGGTAACAAAATTGGGGGCTCGTCCTTTCCTTCTTTCCCTTTCGTGCTTGTCTGGCGGATTTTTTTTGTGTGGGGGGGGTGTTGTGGTGATTGCAGTAATCGTGATGGCCCAATTCGACCTTGTTGCGTTCACCCTTTACCCCACACTCGAACAATTTGATGTGTGCCGCAAGGATGATCTGCTACAGATAGCAGACTTCTTTAACATTTTGGTTCCCGCTGAGGCTTCCAAGCGGGTCGTTAAGAAGATTTTGCTCGATGAATTGGTTCAGCAAGGTATACTGCCTGAGTTGGGTGGATCCCCTAGTGTTGCTGCCACCCCGGTTCGGATGTCTGCTGTAGCGGAGGCCAGCAGCGACGATCCAGGGAGTGGACACCGCATGGATCTTGGAGATTCCAGCTCAACCAGGGAGGACCTACTGCTGACAATTAAGTTACGGGAGTTAGAGCTTGAGATTAAGAGACAGGAGTACCAGGCTCAGCTACTCCGTGTCCGGGCTATGGAGATGGAGGCTGAGAAGGAACTGGAGTTACGTCGGTTGAGCAGGGGCGACCAAAAACCGATGCCTCTTCCGCGTAAAGCACCCACACCAGGTACGCCTCCACCCGCAGCTCGCTCCGCCCGAGACCAGGCTGACGCCAAAGACGCTCCTAGACCCAGTCCCCGGTCTCCCTTGAGCTCGCCTGTCTCCCCGGAAATTGGTAGATCGAGCTTTGATGTGAGCCGACACATCGGTCTTGTTCCTGTGTTTCGGGAAAATGAGGTAGACGCCTACTTTCCCATTTTTGAGCGCATTGCCATGACATTGAACTGGCCCAAACACCTTTGGTCACTGTTACTGCAATGTAAGCTTGTGGGTAAGGCACAGGAGGTTTGTTCGGCTCTCGCGTTAGAGCAGAGCCTTGATTACAACATTGTGAAGGCTACTGTGCTTAGAGCTTATGAGTTAGTGCCGGAAGCTTATCGGCAGAACTTTCGAAATCTTCCCAAATCCGCCAGCCAAACATACGTGGAGTTCGCACACGAGAAAGCCGTCTTATTTGATAAGTGGTGCGGCGCTAGTGGTGTGTTTAATCACGACCAGCTTAAGGAACTGGTCTTGTTAGAGGAATTTAAGAACTGTGTTCCTGATCGAGTGGTAGTGTACCTGAATGAGCAAAAGGTCACTTCGCTAACTGAAGCTGCCACCCTCGCTGACGAGTTCGTTTTGACCCACAAAACTGTTTGCTCCGATTCCTTTGCCTCGTAAAACTCGTCCGATTGTAACCTCCCCCTCGCAAGCGTCTCCACCACCCGTGGAGAAACGCGAGTGCTTTTACTGCCATGAGGTGGGCCATATCATTTCTGGGTGCCCTGCATTAAAGCGCAAGGAAGTTCGTACAGCAGCTAGGAAAGTAAATGTTGCTGCCTGCCCCGACAGTTCTTCGCCCTCCTCCTCTCGTGTTGATGCTGCTTTCGAACCGTTTGTATTCTCTGGTTTGGTTTCGCTTAATGAGATGGATGCTAGGCACCCTGTGACCATCCTGCGAGATACGGGAGCCGCGCAGTCCTTCCTCGTAGAAGGGGTTATTCCCCTGTCTGTCAATACGTACTGTGGTATGGATGTATTAGTGCAGGGAATTGATTTATGTGTGGCTGGAGTTCCCCTGCATACTGTATACTTGAGTACTCCCAATTTCTCGGGATACGTGCGGGTTGCTGTCCAGTCCCAGTTACCTGTCCCAGGCGTTACATTCATCCTTGGGAATGATATAGCGGGAAAGAGAATCGTTCCCCTACCCGAAGTCGTTCCGGACCCTGTGCTATGTGAAAATGATGTAGCGGTGGAACACCCGACGGTGTTTCCTGCGTGTGTGCTTACTCGTGCACAGCGGCGCCAGCTCGCCGACATTGACCTCGAGGACACGTTCATGTCCGTGCCAGTGTTGGACAAACCTTTGAAAATTGAGTCTGTGGCCCCGGTTCCTGATAACTTTGTTATCTCCCCTGAAGTTCCCTCCACTAGGGATGCACTGATCTCTGCTCAGAAAGAGGACCCTTCCTTGGAACCCTGTCGTGCCTCTACCATGGACAAGCCTGACGTGAAGGAGCATCCCACAGCGTACTTCTTCCGCGATCGGGTCCTAATGCGACAGTGGTCCCCACCAGACTCGCCTTTTGAGTGGGCTACGGTGTTCCAGGTGGTAGTCCCGCAATTGTACCGTGAATATGTGTTGTCCTTAGCTCATGATCATGATCATGTTCAGGTCACCTTGGTATCCGGAAAACATTGTCTCGTGTGTTGCAGTATTTCTATTGGCCGGGAGTTAATTCGGATGTGAAAAACTACTGTAAAACTTGTCATGTCTGCCAGTCTGTGGGTAAGCCAAATCAGATAATTGCACCTGCCCCGTTACGTCCCATCCCTGTATTCAGAGAACCCTTTGAACATGTCATTATAGACTGTGTCGGCCCGTTGCCGAAGACTCGCTCGGGTAATTGTTATTTATTCACCGTAATGTGTGCTGCAACTCGCTACCTGGAAGCTATACCCATACGTAGTCTTCGGACTCCTGTGATTGTGAAGAGCCTAATTAAATTCTTCACCACGTTCGTGCTCTGTTTGTTTTCTTGTGTTTATGTGGATTTTGATTTGGGGTCTGTGTATGTTAGTGAACCCTGTGGGTTCACTCATGTGTGGGGGGGTGTTACGTGCCGTAAGTTTGGGTTACGTGCCGTAAGGGATATGTGCCGTAAGTTTCGGGTACGTGCCGTAAGTGTTACATGCCGTAAGTTTAGGAGGATGCCTGCAGGTCCTTCGGACGTCCTGCCCACTCGCCGATTGGTCAATCGCCCCCTCGACTCCGCCCTCTGGACCTGACCCCGCCTCCCTTGCCCTCGGAGCCGTTTCCGGTTCATCGGCTGAAGAGATCGCCGCTTCGTCCCTTCGACGGCCCGATACTTGCTTCTCGCCTGCTAGCTCGCTCTCCGTTCACTTTACTTTGTTTGTTTGATTGATTGTGTATGACTGTTTTGCCCTTGACTTTCGATTCTCGCCTCGCCCTTATTTGTACTTTCGCCTTGGTTTTTGACTGCTTGCTTGGTTTTGGACTTTCGCCTGTGTTTCGACTTCGCCTCTCGGTTTTCCCTTTTGATACCTTTGCCTTGGCTTGGTGTTTCATGTTCACTAGGTGTGTAGGGAGTGTCTGCCTTTTTGTTTATTCGTTAACGTGGGGATTCTTGTTTGTTTGGTCAGGGAGATAGATTTAGGCATTGTTGTTTCGTTTCACCTTTTTTCTGTTCGCTTAGGTAGTTCAGCTTGGGTTACTCGGTAGCCGTAGATGTGCTTTTGTTTGTTTCTTTGGCCTTTGTCACTCCTGACGTTCGTTACACCTAGTGTTTGTACTGTGTTTGTGAAAAACTATAAAAAAACTATAAAAAAAAGACTCCCTCTGTGTCCCGTGTTCCCTTCTCCTAGCCCTAGTTGTCCTGTCCTCCCCAATCCCTCCTTCCCTTTCACTTTGTTGCGGTCCAACCCTAGACTGGATCGTAACACTGCAATAACACTATTTATTCAAATATTGATTGCAGACCAGCACAGTTACTACTATCGACTGCACTGTATGTTGTCTTGTCCTGTATATTGCACTTGTGTAGTCCTGTGTTGTTTCTGTTGTTTTTTGTGCACCTTGGCCCTGGAGGAACAATGTTTCCTTTCACTGTGTACTGTGTATATGGGTGAAATGACAAATAAGCCTACTTGACTTGACTTGAATAATAGCTAGTATTATTGTTTTTGTTGTTATACTGTGAAGATGGATTAATTTGTTAGTGTCATATAATTTGTACATGCATATAGTATGTTCACATTATTTTTAATATATTTGAAGGTTCCAGTTTAAAATAAATCTGCCCCCAGCTGAAACCCCCTCTGACAATTGTCCCCCACCTGCCGGTCCCAAGAACCTGAAAAAATATTTATGCCATGTATAGCCTACAATCCTGCAAAAGATGCAGGAAAAAATATGAAAGAACTGACATGGTACAAAGAGGAAAAAAAACTCACCACTAGCTTGTTGGAGATCTTTGCAATGACAAGGCCAAAGGTGAGGATGTAGAGACAAGGGTGGAGTTCAAATAGCTGACTAGAGGATTTCTTGAAAATAATAAAGGCCAGCGTGAGGATGAGACCAATATGGAGCCCTGGAGACAGTACACTGGTTCCCTGCAGAAAACACAGTTTTAGTCTAGTCATCTTGACAAACAAATTCTTATCAAATATCCACTGTATTAACTGCAAATAAAGACATGACCTTGTAAGGAGATATTTAAAAAAATAATAAAGTGGATATATACTTATGCAGAGAAAAACAGGGTTATGTAAATATTATCCAAACAGGGTTACTGTAAATTAAGTAATTTTATGTGCGTGTGTGTGTGTATTTTGCTAAGGTAACTTACAATTAAGTAAGATGCCATTATAAATAAATTAATTATGAATTAAGTAATTATACCCAAACTTAAAGGGCAGCACATTGGTCTCATAAATCCAGGGTTCTCTCTGTGTGTTTGGGGATCTCTCTAGGTTTTCATGGGTTATATCCCAGAGATGAAAAACTCAGTTACCCTACAGCAGGGCTAGACACAAGGATTTAGGAGGGCACAGCCACTTTGGCCTTGGCTATTCATATTTTTTCTAGGGCACAAGGCCATTAAGCCTGGGCACAAGGCCAAAATCTGGAGTAAATCCAGGGCACCAAGG